TTATTTTAACTTGAGCGTCTCATTATGTTGTGTTTATAAACACGAGACGCAAGACCGTGGAATGAAAATGTTAAAAGCTGAACTACTTTTAACTTAACGCACAACATTTTTAGTGCAGTGTCATGCACGAGGTGCTACAAAAGACACAAACGCAAGATGCAAACACAAACTGCACGTTCACATACTGTAAAAGAACAACAGAAAAGCAGCACATTTTGCCCTTTACAGCAACACCCTGGCATTAAGGCTTTGAGTTTTCCAGAGGCAAGTACCACACTTTCTTCAATTTTTCTACAAACTAGTTTATTTTACCTAAAATTAGTTCTGACTATACCTACATATTATAGTTTACTACAGCATTTAATTGTGCTTTCTATAGCACACTGTAAAAAAAAATCCATAAAATTTACGGTAAAAAAACGGCAGCTGTGGTTGCCGGAATTTTACTGTAAAAAATACGGTAGCAATGTTTTAGGTTTTACGGTTTTAACTTAAATTTACAGATAAATACAGTAATTTCATGTGTATATCAATTTCAACTGATATAATGTTACTATACCAACCTATTGAAGTACTGAAATCTGTTTTGTACATTTGTAATACACTGATAACCACCAAATGCAGGTGGTGATGAGAAAGTCACATGATGAACCAAAGCCCATCACAAGCAGCTTTTAAATAATAACATATATAGAAGGTGCACGGTGTTGTTCACACAAACACTAAACACCATAACGGTAACACACATGAAACTGAAATAATGCAATAAACATTAATTTAACAACATTAGGTGTAACACAACCCTAATATACAAGACTGATAAGAAAAAACTAAGAAGAAACATAGTTATTTCAACAAAAAAACATCAAATTTGAAATGTAACGCAGGGAATTCTGGGAATGTCAATTTACGGTTATTCACTATAAATTATACAGTCTTTTTCACTTTCAAAAACGGTATACTACCGTAAAATTAATGCCCAATACATGTAATGTCCAATACAGTTTTTCACTGTATATAGTAGCGGAATTTACCGTTAACCATTTAACAGGATTTTACTGTAGCATTTTTACAGTCTTTTACCGTTAAGTTCACGTTCATTTTTTACAGTGGGTGTATTGTTTACTTCACTCCATCCCAGTTGTTGGTTTCTTCCAAGCAGCTAGCGTTATGAATAAATGATCTGTAATTACATTCAATGTTAAGCAGAGCTGTGTCTGGTTGTATTTGTGTGCTCACCTCAAATTGCTTGTCAGTGTCCGTGCTTTCTGATGGGAAAAAGTGTGTTTGCCCAGCTGCATACCGACAGACACGACTTGTGTACCTAGAAAGTTCAATAGTGCAGTTCCTTCAGCTCTCAGCATCAGGCCATATATAATGAGATGGAAGTGTGCTTTTGAGTGCTAACTTTTCTACTTCAGCTTTCTGTTTCTTGATGGTTTTGCAGCTTTTATTAGGCATTATATCTCTTTAGAAAGACTTGGAATATAGTACACACGTTGTATGGACTACTTTTTTGGTGCTTTTTAATGTAAATGTTCCTAAAAAAAAGTTCTCAGTTTATTTTAATAACTTTCAAATTTGGCTATGCTGATTTGTAATATTCAAATATAATTTAATGCTGCAAGAGACCCAATCACTCTCTCATTGGTTAATTGCAGTAGTCGCCACCCACTTGTCCTTCTCATTAATTACAGCTGCTGCGGTGTAGAGGAGATTTAAAAGCTCTTGTGGTAGATCGGCATATGAAGGATTTTATGACTATCCATGGATTAGTCTATCCTTCTCACTCTCTGAAACACTTTCTCCATCTAGATTTCCTCCCAGCGGTATGATAATACAATGTTTTCTCCTCTGATCTCCCATCACTTCTGTGGGTTTTGTTGTTTTGGGTGTCTTTATTAGTTTGGGCCTCTATTTTGGGCTCCTCGGTGGGTGTTGTGTCTCCACAACATCGATAAAAAACAACATTTTTCTTTCGAGTTGTTCTGTCGCCAGTTTTCTTTCGAGTTTTTCTCCAGCTTATTTTCACATTCGACCGGCTAGAATGTCTTGAGTGAGGTATGCAACGCACTATTGTGACCAGATTTATTATTTATTTATTTTAAAGCTGCAAACTGGAAGGTAGTGTTATTTAACGAATGTTTATGTTCCTGAAAAGAAAAACATTTAATTTTTTTATTACTTTTATTTATTTAGTATTTATTTTACATTTAGTTTTATGTATTTATTTATTATTAATTTAATGTTTTTAATAAGTTTTAATAAAAATTGTAATAAGCAAGTTTTAAGCCATTTTCTTTTTTTATTTATTTGTTTTTTATTTGGTTTATTTTAGTTTTTTGTATTTTTTGTTAGTCATTTAATTAGTAGTTCATATATGTATTATTTTTAAAGTGTTCACCACTTTTTCAGTTAATTGCCTTTTAAT